TATGGCATTGTCTGTTATCTCCAAAGACATTGCAGTGTTATTGTATTAATTTTTTGATTGTATATTGGTTTTCTTCATCATGATTTTTTGTTTTGTTTGTTTTAATATATCCAGGCAACAGGGTGGGCATATTCCTCTGCTTGCCAGTTTGGCAGCACTGAAGTACTTGCCACCTTTCTCTGGGTGGATTTGTTAGTGGGTAGGAGTGTGGAAGCAAATCTCTAATCACTGATTGTGCAGAGCAGCTGAGGGCAGGCTGAGCAGGTGTTGACTGCTGTCTGTCATTGATCCAGTGGGGCTGGAGTGGGTGGTGCCACTCTCCTAGTGGGTGGGGCAACAAGTCTGGTGAGTATGGCTGGGTAGGGTCACTGGCTCCTAGCTGCTGGGGACAGATGGAAAGGAAAAAAAGGGGGGGGTAGGAGAAGGAAAGGCCAAAAAAAAAGGAAAAGGAAAAAGAAAAAAAGTATGTGTGGGAGAACAGGAGATCTGAAAAGAATGAGAAAGATGAGAAAAACAAATGCAGCACAATACTAGAGCAAGTGCTAGCTACCAAACACAGCTACAGTGGAAATGTGAACTCACTTCATGGGAGTTTACACCACCAAATACGGAAAGTCAGGGATGGTGCTACTGAATACAGAGGTGGTGGTGGGCAAGGCACTCACTCAGCCACATCAAAAGAGAAAAATTAAAAAATGACAGTGAGAAGAGGAAGAAAAAGATAAAAGAAAAAAAGAAAAAGAAAAACTTGCATAAATGTTAGCTACCAAACACAGCTGTAGAGGAAACATGGAGCTTACTCTGGGAGAGGGTGCGTCACTGTCCATGGAGGGGTAAGGATGGGATCAAGCAACCAAAGAGGTGGGACCTCCCTCCCCCCTTACCTTGTGACCAGATGTGCAGCCCTTCCCAACCCCACCCACCTGGCAAACCACAAAGGGGATGGGGAAAACCTCCGTTGAATCAAGAAAAAAAAGTGGGGGAGGTAAAGAGGGAAGAAAAAAGAAGAAGAAAACAAGGGGTAGAAGAAGGGAGAACTAAGAAAAAGGGAAAAAGAAAGAGAAAAAGCACAGGACTGGCAAAAGTGCCAGCCACCAAACATGGCTCTGTGGAAGTGTTTACCTCTGACCAGGGAGGGATAGGGGCAGGCTTTGCTAACTTTGTGGCCTGTGGGGGGGTGGTGCCTGCTCTTCAGGATCAAGAAAAAAGGCAAAGGAAGAGGTATGAAATGGAAGGAAGAAAAGGAAAGGGGAAGAGGGGGGAAGAAGTAAGCTGAAAGATAAAGAAAAAAATTGAAAAAATGCAGCACAGCACTGGCAGTGAGGGAGGTTTAACTAGCTGCCATGTGGTGGAGTTGGGGAGGGCTGCACGTCTGGTCACAAGGAAAGGTGGGGTAGGGAGGCCCTACCTCTCTAGTTGCTCAGTCACCAGTGTAGTCTTGGGCAAGTGGAACCAGTTATCTGGTTCCTGCTCCAATTGGAACACTGCTTGCAGTAGTTCAGGATGGCTACACTATGCCAGTTGGCAGTTTACTGTGCCTTATTCACTGTTTTCATTCATCTCTTCCTGTCATCATTATTTGTTCTACTTCTTTACCCTTTCTTTTGAAGCTCTGGGTGCCAGAATTGTCATTCAGAGGTGTTTCCCTTGATTTCTTGAGTCTTTGTTGTAGAGAGTCTGCATAGTATATCTACCTCGTCTGCCATCTTGGATCCTCCCCTCCATAGGGTTTTCATTGGCTGATTTTTTCAGAACTATGTTGCCAGGCCTTTCTTCTGAGGCACCTCTGGGTAGACTCAAACTTCCAACTTTTCCAGTGGCAACTGAGCATGTTAACTCTTTGCACCACCTAGGAACTTCATAACAACATGGGAGCTCTGGTAGCATAGTGCCTAAGGCACTTAACTGCTAACCAGAAGGCTGGTGCTTCAAACCCACCAGCCGCTCCCCAGAAGGAAGGTTGGGCAATCTACTTCCGTAGTGATACTGCCTTGGAAACCTAAGGAGAGGTTGCTATGAGTCAGGTCTTGACTCCATGGCACATAACAACAACAACCGACAACAAGAACTTCATGTTTATTATGTTGTTGTTAGGTGACATCAAGTCGATTTTGACTCATAGCAACCCAGTATAATAGAGTAGAACTGCCCCATGGGGTTTCTTGGCTGTAATGTTTATGGAAGCCGATCACTTGGTTTTTCTCCTGTGTAGCTACTATGTGGTTTTGAACTGCCAACCTTTTGGTGAACAGCCAACCTTTTGGTTAGAAGCCAAGCTCTTAACCACCAGGGCTCCTTATGCCTATTATAAAACCTTTTGTCAGTTCATTGTTGTAAAAAGTCAAGGAAAAGTTTATATATGGTATATATGGAAGGAAACTTCTTTGTTGGTTACCGGGGGTGGGAGGGGAGGTGAGGGGAGGGACCACTGCAAAAAACAAACAAACCTATTGTCAAGTTGATTCCAACTCATAGTGACAGAATAGGGTAGAATAGACCTATCTCATAGGGTTTCCAATGCTGTAAATCTTTTTGGAAGCATACTGCCACATCTTTCTCCTGTGGAGCAGCTGGTGGGTTTGAACTGTCTTCCTTTCAGTTAGCAGCAGAGCATTTAACTGCTGCACCACCAGGACTCTATTATGCCATTATATTATTAAAACCTATCAAACCTGTTGCCATCAAATCGATTCCAACTCATAGTAACCCTGTAGGACAGAGTAGAAATCCCACAGGGCTTCCAAAGCTGTAAATCTTTAAAGAAGCAGACTGCCTTATCTTTCTCCTATATGGAGTGACCTGGGGGTTCAAACCATTAAACTTTTGGTTAGCAGCCAAGCTCTTTAACCTTTGAGCCAACAGGGCTCCATTATAATATTACCCGCTGCCATTGAGTCAATTCCAACTCATAGTGCCCTTACAGGACAGAGTAGAATCTTTATGAAAGCAGATTGCCTCTTCTTTCTCCCATGAAGTGGCTGGTGGATTTGAACCACTTACCTTTTGGTTAGCAGCCCAATGCTTTAACCACAGCACCATCAGAGCTCCTATTCTAGTTTGAATCAAATAATAATTCCATATAATGGAATAGTATATACTTGCCACTCCTCGGAAGGAAGGTTGGGCAATCTACTTCCATAGTGATATCACCTCAGAAACCCAAGGAGGGGTCACTATGAGTCGGGTTGGACTCCACAGCACATAATAACAACAACAACAACAACAACATATACTTGCTAAAGATTGAAATAGATCTCTATACTGATTTGGAAAGGTATTTAAGCTCTGAGTGGGAAAAAAAAGTTGCAAAACAATGTAAGTCGTTATCCTATCTTAAAAATTTATTTTTAAAATTTAAAAATAATTTTATTTTAAAAATGTGCATACACCATAAAAAAAGCATTAAAAAGGAGGAATTCACATGCTTAAAAATCTGCATACATATAAAATATTCATATATATATTTTTAAGAATTGGATTATTAAACACGTAAGGTAGAAAGAGTCCTGTTACGTTTGTCAGGATTGCAAACAATGACACAAAACAAAATGTCTCAGCTGTTGAATGGAAAACCAATTTTCTTATAAATTTTCACCTAAATTACAATAAAAAGTAAAAAAAAAAAAAAAAAAAAGAATTATCAGAGGCCTTTAATTTGGTAAGTTATGCATTTCTATAAGGCTGTTTTTTTCATATTGAGCATCTATTTCTTATAACAAAAAAAGATAAAAATTTTAGCTGCATGTACTAGTAAACCTATTTGTTATAAATCTACACCTGAAAATATGTTAATTGCTACAGCTATTTTTCTCTATTTAGCTGTGTTCTCTCATTACTTATATTGGTAACCAAAATAAAGCATTTATTTAGATTATGTTTCTTTTGTAAGATTCTTCTTAGAATATTTAAGCTCAGTAAACGCTTTTATAACCCTATACATTGGCAGCAATGTAACTAGCTTGCAAGTTCTCATTTTTTTCTCAAATTTCTTGTGTATGTAAAGGGCCTTAGGAATATGTTTAAAAATTAAAGCAGATTATTAATCATCTCTTTCCCCATGGTATTTTAAGACCAATTTCTTTGCTTTTTTCTAAAGTTTTTGCTTGTTATTTATTTATTTGTTTTAAAATTTCTTGCATTTCCAAATGTTCTGCTTCCTGACTTCTTTTTTTTTTTTTTTTAATTAAATACATGATCATGGGGAAGAATGCTTAAAAATCATAACTTTTCATAACATCAAATATTTTTATAGATTAAGTTGAACTTTAAAATTGTAAATACATGTGTTAAAGAAGGAAACATAAACGGTGTATAATTTCTGGTTTTCGTTGTCTGTACAAACATTGCTGTGGCCAAAGAACACAATTTACTAGTTTTTCTATTTATAATTTAGAGATTATGTGATTGGAAACTGTGATAGAAAAAGTACTCTAGAAAATAGGCTTTACAAGGGCAAAGAAAGATTTAACTGGAAAACTAGTAAAAAGGATAATATTGTAAGATGACTCTAACATTTGCTTTTTATGCTTTTGTATTATCTAATTTTAAACAAGATGCATAAGTTATAATAATTATTTTCATTAGATACATTTTTTTATTAAATAAAGATTTTAACTTATTTATTGTGAAATTACAATAGAGTCACAAAAATTTTTTTAAGAAAAGTACAGAGAATGTCCCATGTACTGTTCATCCAGGTTTGGGAGTGCTGATTTTTTAAAAGTTTTTCTAGTTTGGTATTTTTCTGCATTCTAGTTGGTTGTTTTAATTGAGATTTATAGATTGGTGATGTTTCAAAAGTAGAAATTTTAGCAAACCAAATCCAAATTAGAGGTAGGTGCTGAGTAGAAAGGAGCATGGATTTTTGTAAAAGATTAGGAATGGTAAAATTAAATCATACTGCGTTTAGAGTCTGGATTTGCTATAAGATTAACTTGTAGCTAATCACTACAGCTAACCTTCTCTCTGGTCTGGTTTTCTCTTGGCTCCTGTGGGTACAGCAATGCAGGGTCTGTCGTGGGGGTAAGTGGCCATGTGGAGCAGTAGGTGTACCGGACCAAGAAGGCGTCAGGGATGCAGACTTTGTTCTTTATGTTGGTGCTTTGGCCACCGAGAGGTGCGGCCATGAAAACATCATCTCTTATGCAGCCTATTGTCAGCAGGAAGCAAAAATGGACAGGTAAACTTTCCCCTGAGACTTATCTCCAAAGATCTAATATGAGTACACTTAAAACAAATAATATTATAAATGTTGAGATTACAGGCAGTTTGCATTTGCCAGATTGATTCTAATAGTAAGATGTTAAAAATACCTATTCATCTAATCGTCATTTCATTTTTCATATGTGCCTTACTTTTAATTGTCACTTAAATTCAGATTCCTATTTGTCATTTATTAAAAAAAAAATAAACAAACTCATTGCCATCAAGTTGATTGCAACTCATAGTGACCCCCTCTGGGTTTCTTTCTTTTCTTTTTTTTTTTTTTTTAATTTTATTTTGATTTGGGTGAAGATTTACAGAGTAAATTCACTTTTCATACAGCAGTTCACATATACTTTGTCTCATGTCATTGACCAAAATTTACAATGCAACAGCTCCCCTCCCACTTCCTCCCCATAGTTACCTCTTCCCAGTGTCCATCCCTCCATACTCTTCTGCGCCCTGAGCTGTCTCCCTGTGCATAAGCAGCCCTTCCTTCTCCCATGATTGTTCTCTCCAGGGTGTGTGTCTACTTGAGGTAAATGTTTAACTCACTTGCCTGTTCTTTGTTTGGCTGGAAACCACAGGTGTGGGTTCAATCCCAGACCTGAAGGGCAGCTAGGGGCCATAGTCTCAGTGGTTTCACCAGGCTCTATTGGACCAGCAAACCTGGTCCCCACCATCTTTTTTTTTTTTTTTTTTTGAGGCAGTAAATCTTTACGGAAGTAGATTGCCCAGTCTTCCTTCTGCGGAGTGACTGGTGGGTTTGAACTGCCAATCTTCTGGTTAACAGTCAAGTGCCTTAGGCACTATGCCACCAGAACTCCTTGTCATTTACAAAGGATTTTAAAAATACTTCACTGTGAAGCAGCCTTGAAATGAAGTTATATAAGCAGAAGATTACCTGTCATACACCAGGAAAAATCAGTTAAAGGCGGGAAAAGTTGTCAAGTGTATTATCCTGTTTAAAAGAGGGAAAATGAAGAATAAAATGTCAAATTCTCATAGACTTTAGACTTTCTGAAGCCATGGAAGGTAGATGAACTGCTGAAAGTATTGTCCTGAGATAATCTTTAAATAAAAAATATCTCCTAAAGCCTTCTTAAAAGTGAACAATAGTTTAGCTTGATTAGTAAAAAACTTCTGTGTTAAGCATTGTGCTCTTTTGAGAACTGTTAATATGGGATCAGATTGACAACAGCAACTTGAAAGATTAGATAGGAACCTTTGGGGACAGTGAGTTTATGTTAATGAGGGAGGAACAACTCGGAAAAGGAGGGTGAGGATGGTTGTACAACTTAAAGAATGTAATCAGTGTCACTAAATTGTACAGGTAGAAACAGTTGAATTGGTGTGTATTTTGCTGTGCATATTCTCAACAACAAAATAAGTGAAATTTAAAGAGAAAAAGAATTAACAGTTTGTTGGAGTGGATGGTAGCATTCTCAATCCTTGGAGAGGTTAGTGACTAATTCATGTATGTGCAAGGGCCACCACTGAGGTAATTCCCATGTATCTATCTGTCAGAAGAATCTAGCTGACTTTGAAAAGAGGCTGTTTAACTTATACTGTTTTGTAATTCAGCTAAATCAAAGCAAAAGAAACACTGGTGTATGCTTCAGAATTATACTGTCAATGCTGAAAGTGCTAAGGAGTCAAAATCAGCAGCATGGGTTACGAAAAGCTATCTGTTACCATAATAATTTGTGTAATTATTGATGGAAGAAATCAACTAGAAAAATCTTTAGATTCTGAATGTTGAGAAAGCTTCAAGTCAAATATTGTTTGTGTTTATTGAAGAAAAAAGTGCTATATGTTCTCATGGAAGTATGTGTGCTATTGTTTAGAAAAGGACTATACATATACTAGAGTATCCCTTTTTTCCTGAGACATTGTCATTACATTTATATCTTGCAATTAATAATATCTTGTTATCAAGGACATGTGGTATTTAAAGTGCCAAATGAATGATGATACTTGATAAAATGAAATACACCTTCATTATACTAGTGTGGCAAAATGAAGACCAGTCCTTTCCTCTTAATTGAGACTAAACCATATGGATTGCACACACATATTTTATTATTGCCAGGGCAATAAAGCAAGAAGGAGAAACAAAAGGCATTAAGATTGGCATAGAAGAAGTAAAACTATCTGTATTTGCAGATAATATGATCCTATACATTTGACTGCTAACCAGAAACTGATAGTTCAAACCCACTCAACGGCAGTGGGTTATACAAAGAAAACCCAAGAGACTCAGCAGGAAAACTGGAACAAATTGAGAAAGTCAGCAGAGTGGCAGGATATAGGATAAACATAGAAAAATCAGTTGGATTCCTCTATATAAACAAAGAGATCTCTGAAAAGGAAAACAATACCATCTATAATAGCTATATAACACGTTGTTGTTGTTGTTGTTATGTGCCGTCGAGTCAGACCCGACTAATAGCGACCCCTCCTTGGGTTTCCGAGGCAGTATCACTACGGAAGTAGATTGCCCCATCTTCCTTCAGAGGAGTGGCTGGTGGGTTTGAACAGCCAGCCTATTTCATTTTGCATATATTGTTAAGTGTCAGCATTGCAAAGTGGGGTATGTACTATGATTCCATTATTATTTAAAAATCCATATATGTACTTGAATGTGCTATGGAAAAAGTTGGAAATAGTTAGGATTACCAACCAACCCAGTTTATCTGGGATTTCCCTGGTTTTGGCCCTCAAAGCCCTGCATTCTGGGAAACTCCTCAATTATCCTTCAGTTGGTCATCCTAGAAATAATGCACACCAAATCATCAATAGTTATCTTTCATAAATGGAATTTAGTGGGGGTGAGATGTGGAACAGGGAATTTTCACTTTTTCATTTACACATTTCTCTATTGTTTGAATATGTGTCTTTTTATCATGAGTTACTTTTATTACAAAAGACATGTGAAGATGAAACTTAAGTATATGAACAGATCGGCTTTCCTGGAAGAATTGGGGAGGGAATAGAAAATCCTATATTGAGATGGTTTTAGATTAGTTAGTTAATCTCATGATAAAAGCCTGAAGTATCTAATTCTAATCTGGTGAGGAAATCCAGTGCAGGAATCACACAGATAAGAATTCATAACCAAGAGGTGCTTCTCAGTTTCATTCCACTGTTGTGTTTGTTTATAAGATCCTTGGGTGATGCAATAGTTTGCACTGTTAACCTAAAGATTGGCAATCCAGACCCACCCAGGAACAGCATGGAAGAGAGGCCTGACAATCTGCTTCCATAAAGATTACAGCCAAGAAAAATCCCATGGAGCAGTTCTGCTCTATAACGCATGGAGTCACCGTGAGTTGGAATCACCTTCACAACAACAATGGCTTTTGTTTGTAGCATAAAAGGGAAAACATAATTTCGATTAGTTGAGCAAGGGAGACCTTTTTGAAAAAAAAAAAAATTGTAGCTGTGACCTGAACGTTGATAGGTTTTATACAAATAAAAGAGATGGGAAAGAGCTTATGCTAGGGAAAAAACATGTGCAGTGCTGTTAGAAGCTGTTTCAGCAGACACTGTGTTGGAGAAAGAGAGCTTCAGGAAATGCAATTGGAGAGGCAGACAGTGCTGTTTTATTCTAAGTGCTATTAGAAATTCTTAAAGGTTTTAACCCTGGCACTGACATCCGTTTTATATTTTAGAGATCATTGTGGCAGTAGTTTGGTAAATGAATTACATTCACACTTAGTTTAAGTCTGTTCTTTATGGAGAAAGTATACTGTTTTGGTTACCTCATGTTGCTCTGACAGAAATACCATAGGTGAAATGTCTTTAACAAACAAGAGTTTATTCTCTTACAATTTTGGAGGCTAGAAGTCTGAGTTCAAATTGCCAGGCTCTAGGGGTTGGGTAAAAGTCCCTCAACCTTAGGCTTCAGGTCTGCCTTTTGCTCCCGGTCCAATGAAGCTTGAGGCATCTCTTCACTCAGGCAGCTGCTGAGGCTGACAAACCCAAGGTAAACAAGGGAAAAGACATGGTCCTGATACTACCAAACCACATGGAAGGCTGTTGATTCAAGTCCATTAAAAGTCCCAAGATCAGCAGAGCATGGCAGGCTGCTGAATGAAGACTTGGCTACTTGCAGGGTCCAAGCGTGCCAAAAAACTAGAGCCCATTCCCAAATCTCCTCCTCATATATGGGAAGCAGACCACATCCCTAATGCAGCTACTTAGCTGCTCATAGCGATTCCACCATGGAGTTAATTGCCAGTCTCCTCATGGGGAATAACTACCACAAGCTCCCTGGCCACTCAAAACCAGACCCAGCCAAGTTGACACACAACCTTAACTACCTCATTTATTGTGTATTTTATTTTTCATTTGAATAAGGTAAATGTTCTTTAGGTGTCCCTGAGTGATGCAGATAGTTTAGTGCTGGACTTTTAACTGAAATGTTGGCAGTTCAAACCCACCCAGAGATGCCTTGGAAGTCAAGCTTGGTGATCTGCTTCCAGAAGCTCACAGCCTGAAAACCCTATGGGACAGTTCTATTCTGCACACTTAGGGTTGCCATGAGTCATAATTGACTCAACAGCAGCTAATAACAACAACACATGCTCTTTGTAAACAGGCAGTTTTGTGGTACATTGTTAAGATAGTAGTGAGAGACAAGACCTTGGGGGCCTTCAGCACTGTTTACCAGAGCTGTTGAAAGACAGGTAAGTGCATCATGGAACTGGCTGAATTACTCTGGGATTTCAAGTTTGCTCTTGGCCACCCATCAGTCATCCAGCTGTCACTCCCAGGTTCTAGGCAGAAAGAGAGCACTATAGAATTCTGTGAGTTCTAGAATTCTGTAGGTTCTAGAAAGCATAGAATATGAAAGAAGATGATGGGAAGGCAAAAATCTTTATGTGAACAAAGATAGTGTAAGGGCAGGAGAAAGAGAGTAGAGAGAGATGAAAAGATTGAGCAACCTTCAGCTACCTCAGTGATTTGCTTATTCACCTGTGGTATGGCTGAATTCTATCTCTACCTACTTGTCCATCTCTGTGCCTATAACTATAGTGAAATGCTGAAGTCAGCTACAGATTGCTGCAAGTAAAATAATGTTCAAATTTGAGTATTCTACTTTGTTCCTTGCTTTTTTTTCCGTTTTGTATTGATGTATTTTAAAACTAATACTAAAGTATAACTGACTGACTGTATCCTTTTGTGGGAATAAGTGTTGACTGACCATGCTGTAGGAAGGGAAAGTGTACATGTCTTGGAAGATAGTGAAAATTAGATGTTAATGGTACAAAGTGACATTTGCCATTTAGCTAAGATTTTCTATCTTTGGGCAATTTTTAATGGAGAAGAGTGGGTTAGCAAATATTACAATAAACTTGTTCTGTTGATAAAAAAATTCAATGTCTGTTTTAACAGGCCAATAGCAGGATATGCTAACCTGTGTCCAAATATGATCTCTACCCAGCCTCAGGAGTTTATTGGGATGCTGTCCACAGTGAAACATGAGATTATTCATGCCCTGGTAAATTCTATTAACTATTGTTCTTTTCTTCATGCGTTGGGTTCCTACATATTCTTTCATTTTGATGAATATATTAATTTTAAGATTAGGTAGATCCTTAGATTCATGTTCAGTAAAGCTTGATTCACTAGGTCTTTGCTGATAGAAGATTTTAATGATTAGAATAGTAACTAGGTTGAATTATACTATCTAAAGTAATTAAACAAGTAAATCTGTTGGGTAAATGAGATTTCTGAGAGATTGATTAAGCTCTTTAAGAAGAAACTTAGTAATTTAGAAAAATTCACTTTCTCCTATAAAGGTAACTGATATGCTAATTATAGATCTTATCTCTTCCATTGAACTCATTTCTGAGAGTCTTCTTGGTCTATTTGAGCTTTCTAAAATTTAGATGCACTAACTAATTTGGAACTTCTCATTCTTTTTCCTAATTTGTCCAAAATAATGAATTTTTACTGTATGCCTAGGAAATTAACCAAAGTTGCCTAAGACCCTAGAAAATGTTCCAAACTTACGCCATTCATACATTTAGAAAGTATAGGCAGTAAAATGCGGTGATTAAGAGAGAGAATGGATCACACAGACCTAGTTATAAATTTTCTTAAGCTCTGTCATTAAAGACCTTTGGGATCTTTGTAGACCTCAGTTTCATTTGTAAAATGAGGACAATAGTAGTGCATACTACAAAGAATTTTTTTTATGATGATTAAATGAGACTGCATGTAAAGGGCTTAGCACCACGCAGTTTGTATTAAGTGTCAATAAAATTAGTGGCTATTATTTATTAATCTTACTTTGTGAATGTCTTAGAGTGCTCTAAAGAAACAGAACCAAGGAGATGTATATAGCGTATATATTCAATGGCTGATACACTTACATATATACTTACATACACACACACATATATATACACACATATACATGTTGTTGTTAGGTGCCATTGAGTCGTCGCCAACTCATAGTGACCCTATTTATGCACAGCAGAACGAAACACCGCCTGGTCCCATGCCAGCTCCACAATCTCTGCTATACTTGAGCCCATCACCGCAGCCACTGTGTCAATTCATGTCGTTGAGGGCCTTCACCTCTTTTGTCGAAAGGCCCTCAAACCATCACATACACACACACACACACACACATATGTCGTTGTTGTTGTCAGGTGCCCTTGAGTCGACTCCAACTCACAGAGACCTTATTATGTTACAACAGAATGAACACTACCTGGTCCTACGCCATCCTCACAATCCTTGCTATACCTGAGACCCTCGTTGCAGTCACTGTGTCAATCTATCTCCTCGAAGGCCTTCACCTTTTTCCTGACCTTCCACTTTACCAACCATGATATCCTTCTCCAGGGAATGGTCCCTTCTGACTACATGACCAAAGTAGGTAAGAAAAAGTCTGGCCATTCTCGCTTCCAAGGAACATTCTAGCTACACTTCTTCCAGGACAGATTTGTTCATTCATTTGGCAGTCCCTGGTATTTTCAGTATTCTTTGCCAACACTGCAGTTCAGAAGCATCAATTCTTCTTCAGTCTTCCTTATTGGTTGTCCAGCTTTCACACATACATGGCGCAATTGAAAATACCATGGCTTCGGTTAGGCACACCTTAGTCTTCACAATGACGTCTTTGTTCCTTAACATTTTAAAGAGGTTTTTTGCAATTGTGAGGGGCTGGTAAGTCCAAAATCTGCAGGTCAGGCAGCAGTCTGGAGAATTCTCCAGGCTTATGTCCTAAGATCTGAGGTCAGGTGATGGGAAGAGCACAGGGTTGAGAGAAAGAGAGAGAGCTCTGGCAGAAGAATACGCATTTATATAAAAGGAGGCTGCAGTTATGTAACCAAAGAAAGTTACCAAAGAAATTGATTAGGTGATCATTTATGATTGTTGGCTATTTAGACATAAGCTATAGCATATTATCAATGTATAAAACATAAGTTATTAAGTGCTTTGCTTGAGTTCTTAGATTAGGAAAGAAAGAAAAGAAATTCTATGAATGGAATAGGAGATATCGAGTGGCAGTGATTTTTTTTTTATTTTGCTCCTTTTATCACCTTATTTATGAGGGGAGGGATAGAGAATGACAATTTCAATACTTTTATATGAAGTATTCATTATCTTACTAAAATCAAAGATTTTTTTAAAAATACTATTTTAAAAATCTGATTCTATACATACAAATTCACATTGTAAACATTTTTTGAAAATAAATAAAAATCACCCATTACCCTCCTACCCAAAGGAACCACAACTAATATTTTGATACTTATGTTTTCAGTCTTTTTTCCTAAGTATACACACTATCAAAGAACAAAATTCTTACTCTGTTAAGAGCAGAAAAGAAATGAGTTTTATTGAGGAATAGAACAGCTATAGCTGGGCAGGATGAAGTAAAAATACAAAGTGCTCCAAAGTTGATGGGACAGGGAAGGTTTTTTTATATAGAAATATCAGAACTTATAAAAAAAAAAAAAAAAACAAACTAGTTATTGTGATTTGGGTGAAAGTTTACAGTGCAATTTCATTTTCCATTCAACAACTCGGTAGCATTTTGTTTCACGACATTGATTATAATCCCTACAATGTAACAGCTTCTTCCCACTTCCTCCCTATGGTTACTTTTTCTTGTGTCCTTCTTTCTGTCCATTCCTGCCTTTTGAACTGTCTCCCTGTGCAAATGCTGCCTCTGATCTTTCATAGTTGATTGTTCTAAGCAGTGCACCTCCCTGGTGTAATACTTCACTTTATAGTCTTGTCTATTATTTAGCTGAAGGTTAAGCAAATGGGAGTGAGTTCAATTCCAGGCCTGAAATGTGACTACGGGTCATAGTCTTGGGGGTTTCACCAGTCTCTATCAGACCGGTAAGCATGGTCTCTTTTATGATTTTGAATTTTGTTCCATATTTTTTCCCACTCTATCCAGGATCTCCAAATTTAATCCCTTTCTGAGTGGTTGGCAGAGATTCCCATGGTCTACTAGTTCATTGGACTAATTGTTTCCATGCATCTTTGATTTTCTTCACTCTCCTTTGCCCTGGACAGGGAGAGCCCAATTGTTGCATCTTAGCTGGCTGCTCCTAAGCTTTAAGACTCTGGTCACTACTCACCAAAGTAAGATATAGAGCAAATGTTCTTGTGTAGTATGTTACCCCAATTGAGTTTGATGATCCTGTGAACATGGTCCTGAGCCCATGGGCCCATCAACTCCTTTCAAGTGTCTGGTTGTGGCTAAGAAGTTACCATAACTTTGCCCCCTGTTGTTGTTGTTGTTGTTATGTGCTGTTGAGTCGTCTCCGACTCATAGCAACCTCTCCTTGGGTTTCCAAGGCAGTATCACTAGGGAAGTAGATTGCCCAATCTTCCTTCCAACGAGTGGCTGGTGGGTTGAACCGCCAACCTTCTGGTTAGCAGTCAAGTGCCTTAGGCACTATGCCACCAGACCTCCCACTTTGCCTCCTATTAACTCTACTATTTATGTGAACATTCTTATAGCACATACAAATACATATGTAGACATATCATCTGCCAAACCTATATATTGTTGTTGTTGTTGTTGGATGCCATCAAGTCTACTCTTTCTCATAGCGACCCTTTGTACAGAACAAAACACTGCCTGGTCCAGTGCCAGCTTCACGATCCTCGCTATACCTGAGCCCCTTGTTGCTGCCACTTTGCCAATCCATCTCCTTGAAGGCCTCCCCCTTTTTCCTGACCCTCCACTTTACAAAGCATGATATCCTTCTCCAGGATGTGGTCCTTTCTGATGATATGACCAAGTAGGTGAGACGAAGTCTGGCCATTCTTGCTTCCAAGGAGCATTCCAGCTGCACTTCCAGGACAGATTTGTTCATTTTTGTGGCAGTCCATGGTACTTTCAGTTTTCTTTGCCAACACCACAATTCAAAAGCATCAACTCTTGTTCAGCCTTCCTTATTCATTGCCACCTTTCAGATGCATACAAGGTGTTTGAAAATACCATGGCTTGGGTTAGGCACACCTTAGTCTTTGTTCTTCAGTCCTTTAAAGAGGTCTTTTGCAGCAGATTTTCCCAGTGCAATGCATCGTCTGATTTTTTGACTGCTGCTTCCATTGGTGTTGATTGTGGATCCAAGTAACAGGAAATCTTTAACACCTTCAGTCTTTCTCCATTTGTTGTGATGCTGCTTATTGGTCCAGTTTGAGGATTTTCGTTTTCTATGTGTTGAGGTGTGATCTGTTCTGCAGACTGTAGTCTTTAATCTTCATCAGTAAGTACTTCAAGTCATCTTCACTTTCAGCAAGCAAGATTGTGTTGTCTGCATATTGCAGGTTATTAATGAGACTTCCTCCAATCCTGATGCCATGTTCTTCTTCTTATAGTTAGTCCAGCTCCTTGGATTATTTCCTCAGCATACAGACTGAATAAGTATGGTGAAAGGATACAATCCTGACATACTCCCTTCCTGATTTTAAACCATGCAGTATTCCTTTTCCTTAATGATTTTGTGCTGATTACCCAATAAGGTATATTGCCTTTCTCTTTACACAAACCAATACTTATCTCTTAACTAGCTAGCAATTTTCCTCCTCCTCCCCTTCCATCCCTGGTAACCAACAAAGAAAGCTTCCTTCCTTCCATGTGTAAACCTTTGCCTGACTTTTTATAATAGTGGACTCATACAATATTTGTCCTCTGTGTTTGACTTACTTCATTCAGCATAATGTCCTCCAACTTTATCCCCATTTTGAGGTGTTTCGTGGATTCTTCGTTATTCTTTAATGTTGAATAATACTCCATTGTGCGTATGTATCATAGTTTAATTATCCATTCATCCATTGATGGGCACTTAGGTTGTTTCCATCTCTTTGCTATTGTGAATATCGCTGCAATGAACACAGTGTGCATGTATTTATTTGTGTCCCAGCTCTTACTTCTTTAGGGTATATAACTAGTAGTGGAATTTCTGAATCAAATGGTGTTTCTGTTATAAATATTAGGAACTTCTAAGAAAATTTCCTGATTGGTTGACATTTTCTTCATAGTCACAAATTAATCATGAGACCTTTATTTTTAAAATACCTCTCAGTTATTTCCATTTTAACATATTTTCCCAGATTATTTACTTCACAAGCTTCCTGGAACATTCTTTCCTTGTACTTAAATTTTCATCTACAGTTTGCACACTACCACCTTTAAAAATTTTTCCATTACCATGGCTTAAGGTCATGCAGTCCAGCAGAAAGCAGAAGCAGAAATAAAATGGAGTCAGCTCTAGACCTACGTCAGCCATTTGAGTCATGTCAAATACCTTAATTTTATATTGCTAGTTTTATACACACACTTCCAGTGGTTTTTTTTTTTTTTTTTTTTGAGTTTGTGTGTATGTATGTAAATAAAATGTTGCCTCTTAACTTTTTTGGATCAATGACTGAATTTATGAGTGTTCTTAGGAGCACACTTGATCTACCACCCCCAGTCTCCACTCCATACTGTACTGTAATGATTTTCAGCAGTGGTGTTCCCTAGTGCAGTTGTAGAGCTTATTAAATTCAGATGAAGAGAATTAACCATGATAAACACATTCTTAAATAGTAAATGCGTTGTTTATACCTCTGCCGTGCCATTACTCTTGGGGCCTTAGGTTTTCTCACTTACAAAATAAGATAATATCTTTTTCACAAAAGGTTTTTCCTCTCTTATAATCCTGAGATTTATGAGTAAGGGATACTAAAAGGACTGTGAGTCTATATAGCTTATGGCAGGGCCCTGGACTGCTGCTGCTTCTGACAACCACGGAAATCCTTAAAAGAAGAAAATAGTGATGACTTCCTACCTTCTCAAATGGAGGAAAGGAAGATGTTAACTAAATAGTGATTTCTTTGTGTGTGTATTTGAAAGCGTACAAATGAACCTGTTCACATGAATTTTTTATTAAATTCAGCTATTTTATTTTAGGCAAGTGTTGGTGTTGACCATGCAATTCAGTGTATTGCTTCCATCATTTCAACTTTTATCCAGCAATCAGAAGTGGTACCTAATATGTTATCAAACAAGGAAGAAGGCAGACTTTAAAAAGCAGACTGACAAAGGAATTAAAAAACAAAACAGCTGGGACTCTAGTATATGGTTTTTAAACTCTTTAATAGTGTCTGAGAGTATCATTATAGCACAATAATTGATGCTTATAGTATTTATATGGAAAATAATTTTAAAATGTCTAATTCATTTTGGGGAGCTCTGGTGGCATAGTGGCTAAGGCACTTGACTGCTAACCAGAAGGCTGGCGGTTCAAACCCACCAGCCACTCCTCGGAAGGAAGGTTGGGCAATCCTACTTCCGTAGTGATACTGCCTCGGAAACCCAAGGAGGGGTCGCTATGAGTCAGGGCTGACTCAACGGCACATAACAACAACAACAACAATTCATTTTGAAAAAGTTATTTGAAAATGTCTACTCCAAGTAACTTGAATTTAAAGTTCACTAATACAGGACACTTAATTGTCCAGTTCTAATAAATGAGAACTTTTGTACAAGTATTGGCATAGTGCTTTTATGTCAGTGTTAGATAGCAGAACATATTGTAATTTTTGTTATCAGACTATATTTTTCACTTTTAAGACAGTTTGAGCTTTTTCTTACAGGGTTTCTCTGCTGGGCTGTTTGCGTTCTACCATGATAAAGATGGGAATCCTCTAACTTCAAGATTTGCAGATGGTCTCCCACCTTTTAATCATAGGTATTTGTTATTTTTGTTCTTGTTCTTCTCTTTGATTGGAAGATGCTAAGGCTAGAATATCAGAATCACAGCATGTTACATTTCATAAAAAAAAATATTAGCTTTGTGGCTAACCCAAGGAAATTAGAGGTATTAAAACAAAATAGGACATAACAGATTATTTAGCTTCATGCTTTAATTTTATTGATAAGGAAATTGAGATGAATTGTTCAAGAGACTTTTCTTGTCAGGCAGGGCTCTTTTCCACCACATTGTAACATGCATTACCTTACAATGTAGTCAGACTGAGAGAAAATGTGAGCTGTTTATATTTTGGTTTAGTAGTAATTACTAATATAGCAATATTTGCATGTTAACTGATAAATAACACAGCAAATTAATGGTGACCCAGAAGCTCAGTGTGTCAAATAATAAATACTAAAAAAAAATTGTTCAGAATTTTACGTAGACTTCTAGTCAAAGAACTGTAAACATTGTCATGCATTTATATAAAAGGTAAATCTCAAACTTAAGAGCACATGTCTACCACAAAAACACTTCTACAAGAATGTTCGTGATGCTTTTGTTATTAATAGCCAAAAAATGGAAGCCACTCAAAGGTACATCCACAGTAGAATGAATAAGTATCCTATTCATATAATGATGAGCAAAAGGAGTCAGATACACCATTTATAAGGGTGTCATAAACAGGCAATAATAGAAGCCAGAATAGTGGTTTTATTTCAGTGGGCACATTGGGTATAGATTGGAAAGGGGCATGAGTACACCTTGTGGGGTGTTGAAACTTTTACATCTTGATCAGGGTGGTGGTATATGAGTGTAGGATAAAAATTTAGTCTTTATTAAGATTTGTTCACTTTATGTATATTTTACTTCACTTAAAATGATCTCTATTAAAATAACTAGATAAGTAAGTATTAAAGCAGGTAATAACATTATTCCAAAATAATATTTTTTTAGAACACATATAAAGAAACAAAATTCTAAGTAGAAATAGATACCTTCCTTCCTAGATTGTATTCCTTCCTTGTATAGATTTGGTGGTATGCTTGGTCTTTTGTAAGGATTATGATCTTTATGGAAAACGTAGAATGATGAGATAGGCATCATCTACTTAGTGATGTAGGTAAGGAAGGGAGAGATAATCATGCATAAGATCCGTAGCTAAGCTGGTTACTTGCAGTACTTTCTTGAATTGAAGATGTTCTTCAAAGGCATAAAATATTCCAGTATAAATGGAGATAAAGGAATAATCAGAAGTTCAGTTGTTAGACATATAGAAAGTTGGAGTTGACCCTAGCCATTGATTTGGAGGAATTGTTAATCTTTACATGTTGGTGAGAAGAATGTTAAAGTGATTAATAAGGTAAAAACTGTTTCTTTCTGGCTTTCTTTACTGTTTAGGCTTAAACATTGCCTTACCATAGAAAAAGATAAAAGGAATGAAGAATAACTTCTCTAAGGCATAGATAGGTACATAAATATATGGTAAAACAAATACAACAAAATGTTAATTATAGAATTTAGATGGTGGCTATTAGATATAAGGGTGTTTAGTCTATACCTCTTTCAAGTTTTTTGTATGTTTGAAATTTTCATAATAAAATACTGGGAAAAAGTAGCCTCTTTCTGTTGTTTTATTGGTGAGAATAAGAGATTCATAGGGATAACAGTAGAAATACTCTAGGAGAAAAATCCAGAAAACAATGATTGGGGATTATAGAAAGAAATAAAAATTAATGTCCACCATAATTTTCTATAATGAATAACTAATAACAACCAGTTGCCATCGAGTCAGCCCTAGCCCTTGTGTTTCAGAGTGATTTTACAGAAGTATATCACCAGGCCTTTCTTCTGAGGTGCCTCGGGGTAGACTTCAACCACCAACCTTTAGATTAGCAGCCAAGTGTGTTAACCATATGCACCACTCAGAGACTCCATAATGGGAAGAGGAAAAAAAAAGATATATACCTCTATATATCAAAGACCAAACTCACTGCCACTGAGTCGATTCTGACTCATAACAACCTCTCTTTGGGTTTCCGAGGCAGGATCTCTATGGAAGTAGATTGCCCAGCCTTCCTTCTGAGGAGTAGCGGGTGGGTTTGAATTGCCAGCCTTCTGATTAACAGTCAAATGCCTTAGGCACTGCTCCACCAGAGCTCGCATACCTATATAGATATGTATCTTTTTTTTTTTGGTAGTATTGTTGTTGTAATGTACCATCGAGTCAGACCCGACTCATAGTGACCCCTCCTTGGGTTTCCGAGGCAGTATCACTACAGAAGTAAATTGCCCCATCTTCCTTCTGAGGAGTGGCTGGTGGGTTTGAACCGCCAGCCTTCTGGTTAGCAGTCAAGTGCCTTAGGCACTATGGTAGTATTAGTAGTGCTTTTATTCCTATTGGATAAATATTCCAATGTGGGATTTTGGGTTTAAAATCTACATACATTATAAATTTTAATTAAAAAATACCATTTTACATTTTTTTTAAATAAAGGTATAATAGGGATATTATTCCCACCAGGCATGTATGAATGTATTTATCAATATCTTACTAAATTCTAGATATTATAAATCTTTTTTTTTTTTGCCAATCTCATAGGTGAAAGATGATATCTCATAATTTATATTTCTAGGGTTTTAGCTATTTGCATTTTCTGTTTGTAAACTGCCTATTTTTTGTCTAGGCTTTTAGGTTATTCTTCCTTTATAAAGGTTCTTTATAATGCTTTGAACATATTTTAAACAGCTGATTTAGTCTTTGTCTAGTAAGTCCAACATCTAGGCTTCCTCAGGCACAATTTTATTGATTGCTTTTTTCCCATGTATAGGCCGTATTTTTTTGTTTCTTACATGTCTTGTAATTTTTATTGTTGTTGTTGAAAATGGGATGTTTTGAATAATGTGGGAACTCTGGAAATCAGATTCTCCCTTCCTCCCCAAGGTTTATTGTTTGTTTAATGATTTTTCTGTACTGATTTTGAAAAGTCTGCATTCTTGGTCATGTGTGACCACTGAATATCTGCTTGGTTAATGAATGACTGGATAGCAATTTCTTAAATCTCTTTAAGTCTCCCAGTCTTTGCTGATGGGCTCTGTGCAACACTCAGCCAGGCCTTAACCTTTACTTCCTGGTTGTACAGAGCCTCATAGTTAGCCAGAATTGAGAGCCTAGGGTCTGTGTAGGACTTTCCTGAGTGTGCTCCCAGGTTGAGGCATACTCGCAACCCTGTGCATGCAGGTGGCTTTCTAGAATCCCAGGAGTATGCTGGTGCTTTTCAACACATTAATAGACATCCCATTCTCCAGCCTTTTCTTTTAAGCTTTTTGTTTAACTTATTCTTTGCTCCAACTGTTACATTCTTCCTCAAGCATCTATGAAATTAAACAATTGCCTCTAAATGTTTTTGACAAGAGTTCATGGAAAAGAGCATATCACACTGGGTAAGCTCTGAGTCAGGTCAAATAAAGAGAGCCTTGCAAGTGGTACCTTCCAAGGAAACATTAGAGAAGTCAGATAATGAAAATTTTCTGGGAATGAGACTTTAAAGAGGCTCTAATCTTATTCCACCCTCTCCAAGAATTGCCAGGTTGTTGATTGTGGTTTTCAAAGATACCATGGAGCTGGAGAAGGGGGATGGGAAAAAAACACAAAGATTCTTCCTGAGACTTACCTGCTTTTCTGGAATAAATGCTTCTCAGCTTGTTGCAAGCCTTTGATTAATTTCCAGAGTTCTTAAAAAGGTTGATTCTGATTTGCTAGTTTTCTCATTGCTTTCACAGAGAAGGGAGTTTTCAGAGGTGTTTACGCTCCCATTTTGCTGACCTCTCTCTGCAATTTATTTTTGTATATCAGATGGAATAGGTGTTTAACTTTTTTCCCACATGGATAATGAATTTCACAGTACAAATATTTAAGAAGTTATCCTTTCCAACTAAATTAAAATGCCATCTTTATTGTATTTTTCTTATATCTTTCTCTAGACTTGCTTTCTTTAAAAAAAAAAAAATTTTGTTTTTGTTGGGAATACACAAAGCACAAATACACCAATTTAACAATTTCTACGTGTACAATTCAGTGACACTGATTACATTCTTCAAGTTGTGCAACCATCCTCACCTCCCTTTTCTCAGTTGTTCTTCTCCCGTTAACATAAACTCACTGCCCCCTAAGGTTCCTATATAGTCTTTCAAGTTGTTATTTTTGTCAGTTTGATCCTCTATAGGTAGTTCTTAAACGACCATAATGCTCAAGGTAGACATTCTTTACTGGTTAAGTTACTATTGTTTGGTTTTAAGAAGACTTTAGAGGAGGTTTTGGTTTAAAGTTTAAAGATTTATCTCAAGGCAGTAGTTTCAGGGGTTCATTCAGCCTCCATGGCTCCAGAAAATCTGTAGTCAGAATTTGAAATTCTTTTCTTTATTTTCCCCCTTTTGATCAGGATTCTTCTGTAGAATCTTTGCTCAAAATGTTCAGTAATAGTAAACAGGAACCATGAAGTTCTGGTCTCATGGAGACAGTTAACCACACATTCTGGGCTTACTTTTGCTTTATTAAGTAACATTTGTCAAAAAGAAGTAACTCGTTGTCAACTTAGTGAAGTATTTGCTATGTTAACTAGAGTAAGTTAATCTCTCTAAGCTTCTGTTTCCTTACCTGAAAATTAATAATAATGACCTTCTAGGGTTGTTGAAAAGATTAAAGTAGAAAATACTTATCAAGTACTTTGCATGGACTTGTTACTTGTAAGCTTTGAAATATTTTAATTTCATAATTGACATTCATGAACACTTTTACATTTAAAGTGATTATGAATTTGCAAAAACGGTTCTTTCCATTCTGTAATCGTAGTCTTGGATTATATCAATGGAGTGATAAAGTAGTTCGAAAAGTGGAGAGATTATGGGATGTTCGGGACAATAAGAGAGTTCATCACACTGTGTATCTCCTGGTAACACCTCGTGTTGTTGTAAGTATTTTTGAAAATTTTCCCATATCATGAACCATCTGCTCTTTTCCTTCATTATGGACCTTTCCTTGCTAATCATTATTATTTAAGAATTTATGATTAAAGTTCAGAACCTTGTAGTTGTTGTTGTTGTGTGCCATCCAGTCATCTCCAACTCATAGTGACCTCATGTACAACAGAACGAAACACTGCCCAGTCCCGTGCCAGCTTTGTGATCTCTGCTATACCTGAGCACCTTATAGTAGGATATGTAATATAAAGCTAATATTGTAAACCTACAGGCCAAGAGAAATGTGAAGAAATGAAAATTTGGCAGTAATTCTTACGACCCTATCCTACCTACTTCTTTAAGTCAGTGCTTCTTGGAATCACTATTTATCTGCATTATTGCTGTTGTTTCATTTGAGGTTCCATTTATCCCCCACCCTAATTTAATGAGTTGTTGTTGTTGTTGTTGTTAAGTGCCATCAAGTCATTTCCGACTCATAGCAACCCCATGCACAGCAGAATGAAACACTGCCTGATCCTGCACCAGCCCCACAATCCCTGCTATACCCGAGTCCATCATCGCAGCCACTGTGTCAATCCATCTCATTGAAGGCCTCCCCCTCTTTCGTCGACCCTCCACCCTACCAAGCATGACATCCTTCTCCAGGGAATGGTCCCTTCTTACAACATGACCAAAATAGGTGAGACGAAGTCTGGCCATTCTTGCTTCCAAGGAGCATTCTGGCTGCACTTCCTCCAGGACAGATCTGTTAGTTCTTTTAGCAGTCCATGGTACTTTCAGCATTCTCCGCAAGCACCACAACTCAAAAGCATCAACTCTTCTTCGGTCTTCCTTATTCATTGTATTATTCCTAATTCATTGAATTAATTTAATGCGAGAACCCTATTTTCTGTTCTCCTTCCTTGACTACACACAGTTCTCTGCCTTCTGAAGTTTTGCACTGGTCTTGGGATATTTACAGTCCCTGGAGGTCTTTTTATGAAGGACAGATGAAAATAAAATATGCAGAATTATTTTCTATTGAATAGTTTTTTTCCCTACAAAGACTTACCTATAATAAGAGCAGAAATTTAACACAAGATTTAATTTAAATAACACAAGATTTAAAGTGGCAATCCTACTAGTCTAACTTTTTTGAAATATATGTGACTTAAAGTTTTCAAATAATAAGATAAATAGTATTTCACTAGCAAAGAAGAATATAACGGCATCAAAATATTTAATTATATTAAAAACTTTATTTTTAAAAAGAGTTCTCTTTTCTCACCAAAGTAATTTTTTAATGTCTATTATGTACTGTGTGATAAAGATTTTGCCATTAAGTTATGGTACTTTTGTGGGGGGTTTATTTGTTTTCTGATTCTTAGGATGAAGCACGAAAACATTTTAATTGTCCAATTCTGGAGGGAATGGAACTTGAAAATCAAGGTGGTATGGGCACTGAGCTCAACCATTGGGAAAAGCGGTTATTAGAGGTCAGTTTATTTTTAAATCTTACTAAACTTTTTTTTCTTTAATAAAAGTAATTCATATTGATGGTAAAAGTTATTCAAATAGTGTACTAGGTTAAAAAATTTTAAAATCCCTTTTCCCTTCAGGTATAAGCACTAAGTTTTTTGTATAACTTACCAGAAATGTGTATGTATATGTATAATTTTTTTGAAAAGCACACAAACGGGTTGGTACATTTATACAACTGTTTTACTTCTTGTTGTTGTTATTTGCCATCGAGTTGGCCCCAACTCATAGCGACCCCTCCTTGGTTTTCCGAGGCAGTGTCACTACGGGAGTAGGAATGCCCAACTTAATGGTATGTTAAACGTCTTTCTAATACTTTGCAAGTGCTTCTGCTATAAAGAAATCTGTGTTTTCCTGAAAAATTCTTTCTTCAAAATCAGACACTAAAAATACCAAGCTTATGGGAAAAAACAAGTAACCAGAGTACTAACAAAACAGTAAGTCACAATAAATATACTGTTCTTCATTAGGTGCTGTCAAGTAGTCTCAAACTCATAGCAACCCTGTGCACAGCAGAATGAAACACTACCCAGTCTTGTGCCATTCTCATGATCTTTGCTATACTTGAGCCCATCGTTGAGTGCCTTCCAACCTGATGGGCTCATCTTCCAGCACTATATCGGACAATATTTCATGGCTATTCATAAATTTTTCTAGTAATATATCAGACAGTATTTCACTGCTATTCATAAGATTTTCACTGGCCAATTGTTTGAGAAGTGGATGGCCTCTTCCTTCTTCTGAGTTTGTCTTAGCCAGGAAGCTCCGCTGAACCTGTCCACCATGGGTAACCCTGCTGGCATTTTGCAACACCAGTGGCATAGCCTCCAGCCTCACAGCAACATGTAAGCCACCATAGGACAACAAACTGACAGACAAGTTCGTCTCTCTTAGTTGTTCCTAACTGCTCTGCACCCACCTACCACAGGCCCTGGCCTTAAAATGGAGCCTCCCCTAAGTGAAAAGTAGCCTCCGAGCCCCCTAAAAATAAATAAAAATACTAGCATGGTTAAGGGAGCTCTGGTAGCATGGTGCCTAAGGCACTTGACTGCTAACCAGAAGGCTGGCAGTTCAAACCCCCCAGCTACTCCTTGGAAGGAAAGTTGGGCGATCTACTTCCATAGTGATATTGCCTCAGAAACCCAAGGAGGGGTCACTATGAGTTGGGTCTGACTCCATAGCATATAACAACAACAACAACAGCATGGTTAAAAAGACATCAAATTTCCAATGAGGAAAGTTATTGTAGTATCTCTTTACTGTAAACAGCAACGAAAAGCAGGGGTAGTGTATGTTATGCTATAAATCTGAGTAATGGAGAAAAGGGCAAAATGCACAAAGATTAGGGAGAATCATGCAATAAAGTACTTCCGAAATAGAGATCCTGGCTATATTGAGCCAAGAGGGAGAAATGCAGTGAAAAGGCATCATGTACTGTACATTATTCCCTTGTTTTCTTTCCTGTGTTTAGCTATATAAGTGCACTATATATTCAGCTACTATTGCTTCATGGCACAAGATATTAAAGCAGAAAAATCATTATGAATGAACATGATGCCATGTTATACTGATGCCATTCCATTATTTACCAATCTCACATGAATTCATGCATACTGCAGAAACACATGCTTTGGCAAAATAGACTATGTACTTGGATCTACTCATTTATTTTTTAACAGCTACATTTTATTATATTGTATGGCTGTAACATAACATTCCTGTGTTAAAAAGCAACTGCATTTCAAGTTCTTTTTTTTTTGCAAACAATGCTCAGATGGACAAGTTATCCCTATCTCCAATGCCTACTAGTGGGTGTTCTTATATTCAACTAAATAATCAGACTCACAAGACCTCGTTGGAAAAAGATTCACTTAGAAGGATACTAGACAGGAAGCATAGCATGCTAGCATGGCAGGTCAGGGGATCTCTGTGCTCCAAACAAAGTCTCTGTGCCTTTCTCTCTCACCTTCAAGTTCAAGTGCAAGGGCACCACCACCACATTTGAGTGCAGGAGCCACCTGGTTTAGAAGTGCTATATCCCAAAAAAGGAGCCAATTGTCTCTTTTAACAGCTCCATAGGCATCACTTCCAGATCTTTGTGAAGCACATACTCATAAGAAGTCAAACTGTGGCTTCTCAATGATTCAATCCAGAGATATATCAGGGAATTTTTTTTTTTCTATAAGTGTTATTGCCTGGTAACTCAGCTGACTCCACATTATTAGCTTTCCAGAGGACTAGAGCTAGAAAGTTACCCAGGGTCATATTTGTTTATAGAGAAAGAGAAAGAATCAATCCCTGGAAGTGAAATTTCTGGAGCAAAAGGTGTGTACTTTTTTTTTTTTTCAGTGGTTGGTTTAGATAATTAAATAGTTGCAGTTTACATGCATGATTGCCAAAGTAGGTAAAATTGTGAAAAAAAAAAAAAAATGAAATTAGTGCTTATGCCGACTGTTCTTATTTAGCTGTATCCAAAGTAGCAATGATGGGTACTTATGGAAGAAGCATACATTTACTTCTGCCATGGGAATTTCAGTTTATTTTCCCTAGCAATTTTCTCAAGTAATTCCCTTTAGAAAACTGTCAATTGGCCAGAAATGAAAATGTTTGTACTTTTAAGAAGAGAATGTAAGAGTAGTAATTTCATTAACTTCCTCCTCTCTCTGAAGTTAACTTTGTGTCCTTGAACTATAAAAAAAAGGGTGGTATTAAGTACTTGAGATGACCATAACTGTTCAACATAAAGATTCTAAAAATAATGAGAGCTGCCCAAATATAGACTAAGCTTCCACAAGAGGTATTGAGCTCTCCATTGTTAGATGATCTCATGATAGGAATTTTATGATACAAATATAATATGCATAGTAGACCTTAGTGATCTTTTTAGGTCCCTTATGTAAATTCTTTGATACTATGAAGCCTTCATCCTTCTTTTGCATAATCATGTATATTTCTGTGATCATAAAGTTGAGGGTTGTGAAAACATTTTCTATAGAATATTCCCGACCAGATTATCTATCTTAACGACCCACTTTCCTCTACCTAGACAGTGTAATACTTTTACAGTATTTCTGTTTCCATAGATAACAATCTTCATTTTCATCACAGAGTTCTAAATGCCAGTTGCTTACCATTCTAGAGAAGTTATACACAAGGGAGTCATTTAAGGAAGAAAATAGATTTCATTTTAAGTGTCAGTCTTGTTTTAAAGAAGGCTTATTATGTATTTCACCATTTTTAAGTAATGTTTTGTCAACTGCTCACCCTTAAGGTATTTTAAATATACATCAAAGGAATCATTACTATTACTGGGAGTTGCAAGGCTCTGGTCCAATCTTCTGATTATATTCTGTTGGTGATTTTCAGAATGAAGCAATGACTGGCTCTCACACCCAGAACCGAGTCCTCTCTCGAATCACTCTGGCGTTAATGGAAGACACTGGGTAAGGCAGCTGTGAGAATGTGATATGAATTATTGATTAAAATTAAATGACTATTAAGATTATGACTTAAGAAAATACTGACATTTTACACTGAAGCAAAATGAATTAGTTACTTTGAACTTTATGCAGTCAGCTGTTTTCTATGCCAGCTCCACTTACTCGTTCAATAAATATTTGAGGCCCTGAGAAATAGTAGTGAGTGGAACAAAATCCCTGATGTTGTGAGATTTATTTCTAATAAAGGGAGGAAATATAAATATTAAAAAAAAAAAAGATTTCTAAGTAATTTTTTTAAATTGTAAATGAAGCTGATGATGAATAGATTCCTGGGTTTTTTGTTCTTTTTTTTTTTTTAGATTCCTGGTTTTTTAAAGGAGAGCTCTGGTGGTATAGTGCCTAAGGCACTAACCAGAAGGTTGGTGGTTCAAACCCACCAGCCACTTCCCAGAAGGAAGGTTGGGCAATCTACTTCCATCGTGATACCTCCCCAGAAACCCATGGAGGGGTCGCTATGAGTTGGATTTGACTCTGCAGCAGTGGGTTTGGTTTTGGTTTGGTTTTAGGATAGTAGTGTAAGGACAGCCTATTCATATGCATTGCTTTGAGATTAAAGGTTGCTTTCTACAAGTGATAACAATTTTTTGAAGTCCATATGGACTTGATCATCTTGGTGATATTATTCTTTTAATGTTTTATTATGAAAATTCACCAATATGTACAAAATACGAATATAGTATAATGTGTGTGGGAACTTTGGTGGTGTAGTGCCTAAGGCATTTGACTGCTAACCAGAAGGCTGGAGGTTCAAACCCACCAGCCACTTCTCAGAAGGCAGGTTGGGCAATCTACTTCCATAGTGATTCTGCCTCGGAAACCCAAGGAGGGGTTGCTATGAGTCAGATCTGACTCGACAGCAGTGAGTTTTGTTTTTTTTTAATAATGTGTATAATATAATGTGTATGATACAATGAACCCCCAGATACCTATAACTTGGATTCAGGAGAAATTAAGGTGCTGCCATATTTGCTACATTCCTTTTGTTCTTTTACCCCCAAATTGCAGACATCAAGTCATTTCACCTTGTATAGTCCACCATGAGTCACTTAATATTTTCTTATGTATCCACAGTACCAGTAAACAAAATTAATAATAACTTCCTAATACTTCTACTACACAGTTTGTAATCAGATACTCCCTTTATTGCCTTTTTAGAGTTGGTTTGTTTGAATAAGGGTAGGGTCCACGTATAATATCTAGTTGTTACATCTCTCAAGTCTTAATCTAGAGCAGTTCCTCCATATCCCTCTGCTTTTTTTGTCATGACATTGATTTATTGCAGAACTAGGTCAGTTTGTCCTATAGAATGTTCCAACTTCTGCATTTTCTTAGATGTTTCTTTGTTCTACAGTTCCATGTATTTCTTGTAAATAGAAGTTAGCTCTATATAAATAAATAGAATAAGTAGAAGGTATAGCGAGGATCGTGAGGTTGACACAAGACTGGACAGTATTTTGTTCTGCTGTGCTGTGCATAGGGTCGCTATGAGTTGGAGATGGCTCAACAACACCTAACAACAACAACAAAGAAATTAGCTCTACATGCTTGAATAAATTCATTTAGCATTTTTGTTTTTTTGCAAGATAATTTTATAGGTGATGACTAGTAAATATGATGTTTACTTTTCCCACTTCAGTAATTATTAGATTCAGATGGTGTGTGGTTATTATTTGTTGTGTGTCAACTTGGCTGGGCCTGATTGAGTAGCTGGGCAGCTGTTGGTAGTTATTCCCCATGATGAGACTGGCAATCAACTCCATGGTGGAATCTACCACAAGCAGCTGAGTAGCTGCCTTAGGGAATGTGGTCTGCTTCTCGTGTATAAGCAGCAGCTTTGGGAATGGTCTCTAGCTTATGGCACACTTCTGCATGTATCCGTGTCATTATTCAGAAGCCTGCCATGCTCTGCTGACCTTGGGACTTACAATGGACTTGAATTAATGGCCTGCCATGTAGTTTGGTAACATCAGGACTGTGCCTTTTTACTTGTCAACCTTGGGCTTGGCAGCCTCAGTAGCCAGCAAGCTGTCTGAGTGAAGTAAAGCCTCTAGCTTCAGTGGGCCAGGAGCTGGAGGCAGAGCTGAAGCCCATGGCTAAGGGGCTTTCACCCAGCCCCTAGAGCCTGGCACTTTGAACTTGAACTTAAAGCCTCCAAATTGTAAGAATAAACTCCTGTTTGTTAAAGCCATCTGATTTGTGGTATATTTTTTGTCAGAGCGGCACTAGGTAACCAGAACAGATGGTTACTTTTAAAGTACTCTATTATTTATTTATACCCTTCACCTGAGTTAATAGGTGTCTACCCTTTAGTTAGTGGTTTACCCTCCTTTCCCTACCCACCCCTGATAACAATCAAAGAATATTTCTTTTTTTGTGAAACCCTTTTCGTGACTTTTTACAATAGTGATATTATACAGTATTTTGTTCTTTTGTGATTGACTAACTTCACTCAGCATAACGCCCTCTAAGTTCATCCATGTTGAGATGTTTTCCAGATTCATTGTTGCTCTGTAACAGTGTGTAGTATTCCATTGTGTGTATGTTTGTTTATCCATTCATCTATTGATGGCCAGTTAAGTTGTTCCCATCTGTTTCCTATCATCAATAGTGCTGTGATAAACATGGGTGTGCATACATCTGTTTGTGTCACTTATCTTATTTCTCTAGGATATATACCTAGTAGTGGGATTGCTGGATCATATGATATTTCTACCTCCAGCTTTTTGAGGAAACCCACACTGTTTTCCACAGTGATTGCACCATTTACAGTCCCACCAGCAGTGTATGAGGATGCCAGTCTCTCTACACATTCACTATCATTTGTTGTTTTTTATTTGACTTTGCTGTTAGTGCTAGGGTAAGATGATATCTCATTATTGTTTTGATTTGTACTTCTCTGATACCTAATGATCATAAGCATTTCTTCATGTATTTGTTAGCTACCTGAATGTCTTCTTTGGTGAAGTGTCTATTCCTGTCCTTTGCCCATTTTTTAATGGTATTATTTATCTTTTTTGTTGTTAAGGTGTTGAAGTTTTCTGTAAATTTTAAGATTAGCCCCTTGTCCAATAAGTCATTGCCAAAAAACTTTCCCAGTCTGTGAGTTCTCTTTTTTGTGAAATCTTTTGAGGTGCATAATTTTTAGGAGGTCTTAGTCATCTGTTTTATCTTCTGGTGTTGGTGTCTTTTTCAATAGTGTATTTATGCCCTGAATTAGAGCCCCTAACTTTGTCCCTGCTTTTTCTTTGGTGGTCTAGAACTAAAAGTTCTAAATTTTACATTCAGATCTTTGATCCAACTTGAGTTCATTTTTGTATATGGTGTGAGATATGAGTACTGTTTGATTTTCTTGCAAATGGATATACAGTTTTGCTAGCATCATTTATTAAAGAGACTATCTCTTCCCCATTAATGACTTTTGGACCTTTGTCAAAGATCAGCTATCCATAGGTGGATGGGTTTAATTTTAAGTTCTCAGTTCTGTTCCATTGGTTAGTATGTCTGTCATTGTAACAGTACCAGGCTGTTCTAACTATCATGGCTGTACAGTAGATTTTGAGATGGGGAGAGTGTGAAGCCTCCTACTTTGTTCTTCTTCTTTAATAGTGCTCCAATTATCCTAAGTCTCTTTGCTTTCATATAAAATTAGCTTTTCCATCTCTTCAAAGAAAGATGATGGAATCTGAATCAGATTTGTATTATATCTGTAGATCACTTTGGGTACCATTAACATTTTCACATTATTAATTCTTCCTATCCATGAGCATAGCATCGTTTTCCATTTATGTAGGTCTCTGCTGGTTTCTCGTAAAACTCGTTTTGTAGTTTTCTTTATATAGGTCTTTTGTGTCTTTGGTTAGATTTAAAGATAATGTTCTCTATCATTTTGAAGTACCATATCAACCTTTTATGTAATTGTTTCATCAATGATATTACCCAAATCATTTAATTCATTAAGGGTTACACAATGACAATTTTCTTCTTCTATTATTCTTTCCACTTTAATTACCTGGAATTCTATAAAGAATTTTCCATTGTAAACCAGAACTATTTAGTAACCTTGAATTACAGCCTGTAACAAGAATTCTTTTTTTTTTTTTTTT